CATCCATCCTGATGCTACCAATTGGTCCAGCGGTGAGAATTTTTGTCTTCTTGACATTGAGCCTCAGTCCATACTGAAGGCTGCTGTTCTTGACCCTCTGCAGTAAGTGCATGAGGTCCTCTTCAGTTTCAGCGAGCTACCACCATAATTAAATGCCTCTACTTAAAAATATAATATTTAACAAATTTATTTATGTGCATATTTAAAAAAATCCAAGTGTTTACAGATTTCTCTGTGAGGTATTTTGAAATTTAATTTTTCTGTTAAAGAGTGTGCAAAAGTTAATGTACAAGGAAATTAACTTTTGTATTGTTTATAATATAAAAATAGCAAGACTATCTCAAAGTGATCAACTATAAGGAGGAGGTTAAGTAATTCATGATCCATTCAATCAACAGAAATTTTCGTATGAAATGATCAGATGTGTTTGTACATATTATATCTTGGAGAATTTAGTCCATGCTATTGGCTGAATGGAAAAAGGTGAAGATTACAAAGAAAGAAATAGATTGTATGTAGAGAGTAGCCATAATGATAAACATGAACATTTCTGATATGGTGCGGATAGCATGGACCTGCGTAATGTCGTCTTCTGTTGTATGTGACTTAAACTTTTGATAGAGATTTTTGTGGATTTCTTCGTGTTTTTTTTTTAATTTCTTATATGTAAAGTTTCAATTAACAGGAATAAACACAAGAGCAGCTATATCCATCATCAATAGATAGTGTCTAGAAGACTATGTGATAAAAGCTTCATAATGATTGTCACTGGCTAACAAAAGATTTCTTCTACATACTTTTATTTGTAATTTCATTTACTAATACGCTATATTAAATATTTATACCACACAGTAACTAAATATCTATAAATACTTTCTATAATTATAATCCATAAACTAAAGAACAATTTTTTTAGTAATTTCATTGTTACTAAAGAAACAAAGGTAGATTACCTGATTAATGGCTCCCAACATCTCAGCCCTACTGGCTATTCGTACTGTGCATTGACTGAGGAATGTTATACTCTTCTCCAGCTTTTTAATGATTTCTTGGGCCTGATTGTCTTCTTCACAGAGAGGTGTTAAAGACTACACAGAGAAGAAAGCGTTAAAATGCAACTAACCCAAGCAATGATCCTAATGCTAAGCTATAAATGTGAACATACAATTAAATCTCAATTGCCTTCATGAAGTATAAGCAGCAGCTGCAGTAAAGACCAATAATGGGCATGAGCATATTCCTTTCTAGTGTGTTGGCTCACTCTGCATGTGCTCACATATCTTTTATGCCTGTTTAGATCCTTTCTTTATTGTCCTAATTTGGGCATTCAGGTCTCTCTCTTCTGCAGCCATCTTTCCTCTATGTTTGATAGAATATGATATAATTAAATGGCAATGCTGAGCAGCTTATCCTTATAAATAAATTTAAAGCATTATATGAGGGATACAACTTGAGCATTTGAGAAAAAGAGTGCAAATATTCTTGAATGAGACACATTTTCATTATTTCACTTGCCCTTCCATTAATGGCAAAGTAAAATTGAGATAGCTTAAGGAGGCATCCCTTCATTGACAGATGAAGGTTTCTTTCAAATCCATGCCCTTGATCCATGAAAATGACCTTTCCTGATAGAGGATCCTCTTTCTGATTAAAGTTAAGAGGAGGTAGTATCAATTTTTAAGATTCATTGAAGAGAGATTAGTTCAACAGACAGAACTAGGATGACGCATCTCCTTTGCAAGAGTATTGTGATATGAGATTATGGAGGACTAATGCTTGTCATATATAAGGTACTTAATGAATAACAGCTACTTATAACTAAAACACACAGATACATCTAAGTTGCTGTCTTAGAGTTGCTAACCTGTTAGAAGGGTCGTTGTCAGACACGCAATTAGAAAGGGAAGAGCTGAAGTTAATCACTGGCAAAACAGAATATGGCTTCTCAGTGTTTATTTTCTCCACCTACAAGTTGCTGTTGTTGTTGTTATATGCCGTC